GACGCTCTTTCTCTTCACGGATTTGCCTCTGAAAGGCTTCTCTTGCCTCAGCGTCTCTCTCTAGCCGTCTCTTGAACTCGAGGCGGGCGAGGTGCCCTGTCTGCGGTGGCCCGAACAAGCCTTTGGGATCCTTCCTTCGACCAAAAACAACAGTAAAAGAACATTTTTCCACCGATCAAACAGAAAATTCGAATTAAGCTGAATCCGAAATTGAGTATCATTCTTGAGAATTGAAGAGAAAACAGAGGAAATACGAGATATTTTCCGCCAATCAAGCGAGAAATTCGAATTCATATGAATATGAAGCTCAGTAGCATCCTTCGAACAACAATAACAATACAAGGGAAACTGAGCATCATTCTTAAAAAGTGAAGAAAGCAGAAGTAATATAAGATATTTTCAGCCGATTAAATATACAATTCAAACTCATATGAACAAGAAATCGACCATCCTCCTTCGATCGACAACAAAGATACTAAGAAACTTTCCACCAATCAAACTCGAAACTCGAAATCAGCAAAATCTCCGCAATCTCTCGAGAAAAAAACGAGAAGGTTATCTACCCAGACACTGGATATTCTCCGTCTTGAAATTTGTCGTGGAATTGTACGGACGGAGGAGACGGTGGCGATGCCGATGGAGAGCGACGCCATGGATTCTGGTGAGCTCTGTTTCTCCTTGTTACGTTATCCTCTCTCTCTCTCTCTCTCTCTCTCTCTCTCTCTCTCGCTTAATGCTTTGTGGCGGGACTAATTGTGACCGTTGGATCACAACGGTTAAGATAGCTCACCATAATCAGATCAAGATCGTCCACGTGTCCAAGTTTTGGCCGATGATGGACCGCTAACAATATACGCACCAATATACGCTTCACATATCTCAGTCTCGCCATCGTAATAAATATTTCTACAAGCTATATACAGACACGCAGAACCGTAATTCTTATAAATTTTAGAAAATAAGTTAAAATTAAATATAGCATAAATAATTATATTTAAAAATAACATAAATGACGAAAAATAATATAAACATAGAAATTAAAATAAAAACACTCGAAAATGTAAGTAATACTAAATCCATTTATCTAATGTAGAGACCTCCTTTGTATATATTTTTTTAAAAAACGTCAAATAAAATAATAAAATAATACAATTCAAGTATAATGTAATGACAAGAAAGCTTAAAACAATTCTACGGTGCAAGAAGAAGGCGTTTTATCAAAAATACTCTCTATTTGTTATTTTTACTTCAAGATATATCTTTTTTCAACTGTGATCATCTAATCCATGTGATCAGAAATATAATTTTGGTCACATTGATCATAACGTTAAATTTATAATGTTTTTAATCAAATGATTATTGAGATATACAAGATATAAACATAAATAAATGAATGTGATCATCATAAATAACGTTATGACCAATGTGACCAAGATTATATATCTAGTCACATGGATCACAGTGTTAGAATTGGAGAAAGTATATCTTGAAGTCAAAATAACAAAGAGATAGTATTTTTTATAAGGAAAAATCCCAAAAAAAACACTAAACTTTACAATTTTGACAAAAAAAAAAATACTAAACTTTTTATTTTATCAAATAAACATTAAACTTTTTAAGTTTGACAAAATAAACACTTAACTTTTCTACGATTATCAAAATAAACAAAATGAATGACGTGGCCCAATGAGACGCAAACACGTCATATTATTTTACTTAGTTTTTTTTTACAATCGAAAAAAGTTCATGTATTTTTTTGAATCACTAAAAAAGTTCAGTGTTTTTTTGATAATCGCAGAAAAGTTTATGTATTTTTTGGATCATTTAAAAAATTCAGTGTTTTTTAAGATTCGTTTAAAAAGTTTAATGTTTATTTGACAAGAAATAAAGTTCAGTGTTTTTTTATCAAAATTGTAAAGTTGAGTGTTTTTTTTGGGATTTTCCCTTTTTATAATGCTTCGTGTAAGAACATATAGATTCTATGAAAATAATGATGAACAATATCCATGAAAAAGAAGAAAAGGAATAATTCTATTCTTAATTCCTTCTAATCTTGGTTAGAACATATAAACAAATGTTAAAATAAAATAACCAATAAAAAGGAATAATTCGTATATCGGAAACGAATGTGTAAAACGTCTGTCCCGCCATAAATTCGAACTTTAAATTTAGGGAGAAAACATATATTATAAATCATCTGATTGACTCTCAATCTCGGGATTAATCTAGGCCTTGGCCCAAGATACTCGGACATCCAAAAAAAGAAAAAGAATTCGTATATTGGAATTGGACGGATTCTCACCTAACATAATTAATAAAAAAAATCGGGATTCTCACCTAAGAAAGTTTAGAATTTAAAAAAAAAATACTCTCAGAATCAATTCAACTTCAAGGAACTAATCCAATGTACAATTAAAATCAAAGTTGTACATATTATACCATCAAAACACCAAAATCTTCTACAATATTACCTAATTCTACCGTAGCCATTACAAAACATGCAACGCATATGAGAAAAACACACACACATGATGATATAAAATTTCTTTCTTTCCAAAAAATCTCCTTCTAATATTAAGAATCTTATATTTGAAATACCAATATTTAAAAATAAAATAGATCATAAAAAACAAAACAAAATAATTTTTAAAAATATATAAAAAAGCGAAAATTTGAATGAGAAAACAAAAAGTGAATATGGAGATCTCTTAAATGTAGATCCCGTGCAAACTTCATAAGTTCCATAGGTTAAATGTTGTGTAACCCAAGAGCCATCCAACTACTAATGTCCAAGAAATAACACCTAAACCGTTAAATTAATTATAATGCGAAACCTAGCTGGTCCAACGATGCATGACAGCTAGCAATATATTTGTATGTATGTCCCATATGGTTTCCAAAGATCGGTGACTATATAATGCTTTAATTTAAGATCTAATTATAATTATACATAAGCATAATCATTTGCATGTTAATTAGTCCAATATACTCTAGTGATATAACTATATGAATGAACTCCTCATTTGGTTCTCATTAGGTACACTTTTTGTTTTTTCATAATTTTTTATTTGGATTTTGTTATTTTCACTCAAGTTTTCATTATGGTTTTATTTTAAATTTTTTATTTTATTCATTATTTTCATATTGATTTGATTAATGTAATTTTCGTTTAAATCTAATTAAATTCAAATACAATTTATATGTTATTGATTTAATTCGTAATAGTACTTTTAATTTTGAATAAAAAGAAAATAAATATGGATTTTTGTATTTGATATATGAATCAAGAATTCAAACATTTTCTTTCTAAACTTCAAACATCTATAAGTATCTTGAAATCATCTAGAAACATAGGGAACGTAAAAAGAAAAATTCCACACGGATCGGAATATATATATATATATATATATATATTATTTTGTGGAGTATAAAATTAGAATATGAAAACATTGATAACGAGATCATTTCTAATAAATATATATGAACATGCATTGCCACGTAGAAAATTAAATGTGACCAACGAAAAATAATAATAATTTGTCCTCTTAACGAAAGTTTATATATAACCAAAAAACTAAAGCAGGTTCGATACCCCAAAAAAAAAAAAAAAAAAACGAGTCGTCTTTTGAAATTCTCATTTCCTGAAAAAAAAAACAGAAAGGAAAGAAGATGGCGGGATTCTCCACGGCGGCGATGGGGCCGGGCGGCGATGATGCTTCCGGTGGCGGAGGCGCAGACGGAGTGCGTGAGTAAGCTGGTGCCATGCTACAGCTTCCTGAACACGACGACGAAGCCGTCGGAGGATTGTTGCAGCTCGATCAAGGATGCGGTGGAGAAGGACCTATCGTGCCTGTGCACGATCTACGGCGCTCAATCTCAGCCGTCGATGCGGCGTCCCCGCCGATCTCTCCGCCTGTAACGGTACGATCGATTTCTCCGGTGATCCCCGATTTCGGTGAAACTAGGGTTTCGAATTTGGGGATTCTGTTGAACGGATATGTTGTTGATTATACTGACTTTGAGTGTTGGATTTCGATTCTCCCTGAGATTTTTGTTTCAAATTCGGGCTCTACTTTTCCAGAAAATTCTTGGATCTTAGACTAGAAATAGAAACTCGAGCTGACAAATGAAAATCTGACGAGGTTTTAGAGTGTTTTCCTGCTAAATTTTTCGAATCCTAAGAGCAGAAGAACAAATCGAAGTGGATTTGTTTACCTTCTTGTTCTTCAGCATATGATTGATAATATATCATGTTCCTGAGATTTAAACTAATTGTTTATTTTTTTGTCGAAATTTGAATTTATTTTTTTGCAGCATCTGGAGCTCCATCGCCGAAAGCATCCTTACCTCCTCCAGGTAACCAAACCAACCCCCTCCACCTACTCCCCGTGTTGGAATTATTTTCTATTAAACGCATAAATAAAAATCCTCTGTTGCAATTAATTTTCAAAAATTCTCATAAAACCCTGGCGATTATATTAATTTAATCTTTAGACGAACATTATTGGGTCGTAGGCTTAGAAATTGCATTGTTGAGGGAGAGAGTCAATTTAACGTAGATTATACAATTCAACATTAAATTTGTTATTATTTTTTCTGATTGGCATGGTTAGTCCAAAAATACGCATTTTCATTTGTTTTCTTCTGATAAAATGTGGACACTAATGAGAATGTTCTTTTTCCCCTTTGCCTCCAAATTTGACTTATTAATTCCGTGGAGTTCACGAGATTATAAGAAGACAAATGCCCACCACCTAATTCAACGCGTATATAATTAACTGAAGAATCTGTCTAGTTTTTCTAACACTTTTTATTTTTAAAAAATCTCATATCAAACATACAAAATTTTAAAATTTCTTAAAAAGAAATACAAAAAGATTTTCAGATTCTCAATTAAAATCAGAAAGTTTACAAAAATTCAAAAAAAAAAAATATATAAGGCATTTGATATCGTTTCTTTCTTATAAAATCCCGTGTTATTGTTTTTAAGCTCTTATATAATTTATGATTTTAACTAGAAGTTCAAAAATAATATGTTATTTTCATGAAACTGTATTAGTTATTAGCAAATTCGTTCCGTAAAGTTAGAGTATGTATAGCCGTGAATTACTGGTAATGAAAGTGATTAAATTTTTTGGTGAATAAATTGGGCAGGAACACCGGGGAAGGACACCGGAGCTGCGGACAAGCTCGCCTCTTACGGCATCACCACCTTGATCCTGTCTTTGTTCTCTACGGCGTTCTTCTGAGGTCCTATACCGGGTTTCTCCGGTTCTGATTATTCCCCGTTTTCTATCTAAACCATTCCCAGGTTTCTATATATATTAAAAACCTTATTTATTTGTTTCTCCGGTTTTACCTATCATTTGATGTCCATTGTATTGTACCGGTCTGGTCCGTACCGAGCTTTGTAGTTGTGTTGTATATTTATGTGTCCCGTTTCTGATTTAGTCACCGAGCCTGAACCAGATCAAAGATTGTTGTACGCCATTTTGCTCTGATTTTATCCGGTTTTATATGGTTACCAGTCGTTTCTATTTGAGATAACCGGAATAATTGGTAATCATTACCTGTTTATCCAATTTTTTTATTGCATTTAAACCGGATCCTGTAAAATTCATGATTTTGGATTGACATATCAAAAACTTTAACAATTTGTTATGTATCAATGCGTTACATTATATTTCAAAGAAAACACAATTCAAGACTCGAATCAAATCGCATCCCCCTGAACGAAATTCCAAATGCAAACCGAAGAAAAACATGGCAGTAAAAGATGTGAGATTTAACAATTTCTTACAGAGAAAAAACAAACTTAAAAATGAAGATGAAGTTAATATCATCCAGAGCAAATCTCAAACCAAATCCCCAAGCAAACCCTAGAGTACTCTCAACCCGACGGAGGAATAAACAAAGAGATCGATTTGAATTCGATTTCAAATCCAACCGACTAGGTAAAGGAAGATTAGATCTCACTTGGCCACCATTCTGGCGATGAAATCCTCGTACCGGATCTTGCCGTCGGACCCTACATCCACCTCTCGGATCCACTCATCGAACTCGCTCGGCTCAAGCTTCTCCCCGATACTGGTGAGTATATGCCTCAGATCCGCCACGGCGACGAACCCGGTTCCTTCCTTGTCGAGAACCTTGAACGCATCGCGGAGCTGGCGATCGAACGGCTCCATCTTCAGGTGCTTCGCCATGAGATCGAGGAACCGGTCGAAATCGAACGGCGACGAGAGATTCTCGGAGGCGATTACGGATTTGAGCTGCGCTTGGGTCGGATTGCCTCCGAGGGACCGCATGAGGATCCCGAGCTCCGACGGAGCGATCTTTCCGTCGCCGTCTGAGTCGAAGAGCGTGAACGCCTCCTTCATCGATGAGACCTGACCGTCCGTCAGATTGTATTTGCCCATTTTCGCCTTCTCTCTCTCTCTCTCCGTGGAAACTCCTCATCGATTCTGTACGATGGAAACCGACGATACGAAGTGGTAAAGAGAGACCAAAACGGTGTCGTTTAGAATCTGAAGGCCCAAACTTTATGGGCCAGGCCCATTTTCCTCCAAAATAAAACAACTCTCAACTATTTTGTTTTTTTAGATGATCGTAAATAATTCTTTTTGGTTCATTTCAGATTATTTTATAGTTTTTTTCTCGATTCCACAATTCATAATACTAAACCATAAATAGGAAACTTGAGATTTATTATTCAACCTTCCAATAATATATAAAATACTTGATTTCGTGAATTGGTTTGCCATTCGTAAAAATAAATATAAAAATAAATTTTGTAATAATAATTTCACCACACAAAAAAATTGCAACAAAAACTTGAAAAGTAATTTAACCGTCTCCGTAGAAAGATAGCAATATAAGTATATATAAGCTATTAATTCTTAGAAAAAATTGTATATCTTATAAAAATCTTATAAATATTTGAACTATAAAATTTCTATATAAATATCTGAATTTGTTATAGAAATACCTAAATTTTTTTAAAAAATTTAAATAAATATAAAATTCATGTATTTTTAAAATAAAAGTGATCGATATCATTAAAGATTTTAGGTTTATTTAAAAAATTTTGTAGAAGTGTGGATATTTATGTAGAATTTTAAAAAAGTTTAGATATTTATATAGAAGTTTTATAATTTAGGTATTTATTTGAGATTTTTATAAAAAAATAGGTATTTGTATGTGATTTTTTTTAAAATTAATTAGTTTTTTTGTTGTTTTTTATTCGGCCATTCTCATAGTCCAAATTGCGTAGTCCTCGGCCGCCGATGACGTCATCTATCGACGCCGGCGATGCTGACGCAACACGTTCACATTCTTCCCGCGCACACAGTTTCTTTTTTTCCCCATTTAGACTTTTAACCTTAGAAACTACGCTTAACAAAAAAAAATCAATTATAATATTTTTCATAAAGCTTATGTTTTTTTTTAAAAGAAAATAATTCATATTTCGTGTGTTTGGGAAGGTGGAATATGTAAGAATAATATATTCTCCGGATTGCACTGTTTCCTAAATTCCCATTGGACGGGCAATGTGTATAAGTGGAAACACAATACCACAAACAAGAACCATACAAAAAGGTGGAGGAAAAAACAGAAAGTGTTTGTTTACGTAATACCATTATCTTTATTTCATATATAATGGAATATACACACACATATATATGTATATATATTATGTTTGTGGGTGTGGATGTACATGTGAACTTGGAAAGATTGAATAAACGGAGGAATTACTGATAATTTCCTCCAAATTAATGGATTTATGTGCAAAAAAGGATCTTGTTTGTTTTCTTACAAGAATATAAACTTTTTTTTCCTATAAAAAATTAGTGGGGAAGTGGAGGGAAAAAAGATGACAGAGACATCAAATGCATGACCTAATAATATTTCTTTTGATCAAAACCTCTACTGTCATTTTTCAAGTGGAGAAATTCAACACATTAGAGAAAAAAAACGAAAGAAAGAAATGATATATATATATATATATATATATGTATGTATACAAACAAACAAAATTGGGATTATTAGCAATTATAATGGCAGAAATCAGAATCAATTGTATCTATTAACCTCATCAAGATATTAAAAAAGAGGCACTAAACAAACATGAAGAAATATCCCACACATGTGAATCTTTATGATTGTATATTTTTCAAATGTCTTAAAATTCACAACATGCTTGAATTTAGTATCATATATATAACATGAGATGTATATATTAGGTTTGTAGGTTAGTACGCAATAATTTTGTTATTATAAATGCTAAGCATCCACATGCCTCATATGTTCCTCTTCACTTGAAGTTTTTTCTTTTTCTTTTTAAATCCGTAAATTCACCGGACCTTTGACCCAACTACATCTCTCAGAGAACCGGAGAAGCCTCTTCACTTGAAGTTCCAATTCAAAAAAAAAATTTATTTCCCTTTTCCATCTGTATGCGTTTCTCTTTTTTGTTTTATTTTTTATAATCGGATATTATGGATCGATATCCAAACTAATTTTAGAATTAGGAATAAGTCATGTGATTAAAATTACGCTTCTCTCTCCAATTTAAAACTCGAACTCGTGGCGGGACATACGCTATGCGTTATCAATTGGGTTTTATTTGTTTGTTATTATGCATGCTTCATTTTTTTCCTTCATTTAAAGATTTTTTAAATTATTATCTTTTTATTATTTTACATTATATAAGTAATGGGAATATTATAGCATTCTCAATGATTTTTTCTTGTCTTCTTCAATAAGATCCAAATAATGGATATAAGATTATTTTTGTTGTTGCAAACTATGGAGATATTGTATATATTGTGATACGTTATTTAGAATCTGAATTATTTGGTGATAATAGGAGATTAGAAAATTCCCAATAAAAAAGTTTGTACAAACGAGCTAGCTCGATCAAATCGAATCGAACCGAAATGGATTGGTTCGTTTTCAAACGAGTCTAAAAAATCTCGTCTCCATCCAAATCATCTACTAGGACTCAGATACGAACATCAAAAAACGTGCAGAAATCACTCGGATTTGTGTTCGTTTGAGGAGTTTTTTCGGGAGCGGGACACTATCCCTCTTTTTGGACCCAAGATCTGCTTTTGTGGGTCGATCCTGATGGAGAACATCGTCAGGTAGAGAGTTTGAGTGATGTGGTATATCTATTAAGAGATAACGCATATATCCTAAGATGAACTCAAACGAGAACAAAAATCTCGTGTGCAACAAAAGGGTAAAAGGTGTTTTGATTCTGATTTTCAGTTTATTACAAACTGAACGAGTTGGTTCACGTTTCAATAAATATAATATTTTATAGTTATATTATAAGATAAATGACATTTTAATATAGAATTCAAACATTACGTATGCAATTATAATAAAATTAATATTGTATTTAGGTAAAGTAAGTATAATAAAACTAATATTCGATACAATTTATATATACAAATCTAAAAAAATATATAAATAAAAAAAATGCTTCAACTCACGAATCAGGTCATGACTCGTCGAACTGGTTCGGTAAAATTCGCGGTTGTGGCGAATTGGTTCAGACATGTTCGTTTTCAAACGAATCTTAAAAATACTTATGAAAAATAAATCAATTTGTTTTTAAGTCATCCATTAAAAAAAAACCGTCATTTACCACAAAAAAAAAAAAGGGACCGACAGACAAATGTGGTTGACAAATAGAGATATATCCACCTCATCCGGAATATATATGTAATATCTCCACAAACTTGATGGGAGGCAACACCAAAACATTAATTGTACGGCCGATTCAGACAGCTTTTCTTGATTAGTTCTTATATATACACACACACACACTATATATATATATATGTATCATGTATATTCATATGTATATGTATATAATTTTATCTGTACGCGGGAAAATATCAACCGTGTTGGCCTATGAAATTCCCAAAACCACGAGAAATATCACTAATTAATTTGGACTAATTAGCACTATATTATAAATATTGGGGAAAACTACAAAACAAATCAATACAATAATCAGTCAGGTTGGTAAATATTTTCATATATTATTACAAGTCAACACCAAAGACAATTCATTTTGGCTTATAATTTGTGTCCCTATTTAACCATCCATTTTTTTTATATAATATATGGTTTAATTAATAATGTAATAACTATATGTACAAAAATAATCCTCCAAATTACAACCACTGTTTTATTCGATTAGGAAAAAAGTTTGCTAATATTCCACACAAGTTAGCTAGTTTTATTATATATTTGGTCTACGTACGCGAATAGGAGATTAGTGAATATCTAACAAATCATTTTGTAACTTAAAAAAATGTTAAGTCCTTACTAATTAAAGATTAATATTTTAATCTCATTGTAATCCAAAACCCAATACCACACACGTCGGATCCGCTTGTAGAAATGTCAACGGTCCAACAACGAGACCCTATCCCTAGATAACAGATAAAAAATAAATATCTTCTAGAAATATTTATTCCTACTCCTAAATTTTACAATTATTTCAAACATTTAGCCTCGAATTATTATTCTCTTAAGGAAGTCCCCTAAATAATAAAAAATATAATAATAGAAACCCATTCTCTATTCCAAAATTTTCTCATTTTTTATAATTGTTTTGTTCACTGAAGAAAACTAAAAATATATAACTGACAAGGATTCATTTCTTTTCCGACGGAAAAAGGATATTTTTTAAAATGTATAACATTAGGGCCAAATCTAGAAAATCTGTATAATACAGGGGTGAAGTTGGTTGGTCTTCAAAATATTTTTGCTAATAAAAGGCAAAACGTGGTTTCGCTTATTGTATTATAAAAAGAAAACATCCTCTGTGACTTGTAAGCAAAGCCAAATTAGAAGAACCCCAAAAAAAGAAAAGACAGAGAAGAAGAAGAAGGAAGAAGGAAAGAAGATGAAGCTGGTTTGGTCTCCGGAGACAGCATCCAAAGCTTACATAGACACCGTTAGATCTGTAAGTAACATTTTCCGGCATCATTTCCGATGGAAAACTTGTCGGAGTCACCTAATTATCGCAACCCTGTTCTTGGATTTTTTTTGTTTTGTTTGAAGAACTGTTTAGTGTTGTTCTAGAAACCCCAGTATTTTATAAGCTTCGGATTTTTTTTCCCGTAGTTATGATCGAACGATTCAGGATAACAGAGATTTCATGTTGTTCTCAAAGACCCATTACTTCGATTTCAACGAAAATTTGTGCTTTTCGAGATAAAACCCTAAATCATCTAATCTTTGATTCTTTGCACCTTTTTTTCCTGGAAAATTTTGAAGCTTTATCGTACGAAATGATACACAGAGACATGATTCCTTTCTGCGTATAGTAAAGTTTTCATTTTTGGGTTTTTTTTTTCTGTTGTTGCAGTGTGAGAATCTGGGAACGCCTGGTGCGGCGGAGCTGGTGGCGGCCATGGCGGCGGGTTGGAACGCGAAGCTGATAGTGGAAACGTGGTCGGAAGGCGAAGACATAACATTAAGCTTAGGCCTGACCGTCGCGAGCCATCACACAAACGCCAAACACATATGCATCGTACCAAACGCGAAATCTCAGGCCGTTTATCTCCAAGCGATTCAAGAATCAGTGTTTTCCTCAAACGCGCCAGAGATCATCGTCACTGAGGAGCCAGAGAAAGCGATGAAGAAGCTACAAGAGGTCGATTTCCTGGTGGTCGATTGGCGGCACAAGGAGTCCGCCATGGGCGTTCTGCGAAACGCTGCGTTTAGAAGTCGTGGAGCGGTTGTGATCTGCAGAAGCGGTTACTCAAGAACTGCGTTAGGGTTCAGCTGGAGAAGAGCGTTCGGCGACCGGAAAGTTGTGAAAACGGTGATACTTCCGGTGGCCGGAGGGTTGGATATTGCCCACGTGGCAGCCGCAGACTCAGAGAAGAGTGATGATAATAACAAGAGAAGATGGATCAAACATATTGATCTGAGATCAGGAGAAGAGCATGTTATCAGGAAATAGAGACAAGACAAGACAAGATTCCACGGAAGTGGTCTGGTCTGATTTATTTATTTGTAACTGTAACTGTAAGAGTGTGGTCTGTACATAAAAATCCAATAGATGAAGAAATTGCATAAACAAGAGTTTGATTGTGTTACAAGAAATTCCCAAAAGTTTGGAACTTTGTCTTGAAACGCTGATAATGTGTTCATTGCAATCTTCTGTGAGAGTGTCTCAATCACAAGAAAGCTTCCACGACGGAATCTTGAATGATGTTTATGGTAAAGTTAATCCCAGCTATCTCTGCTTCTTCGGGCTGCCTTCTTGTCTGAATGAGCCTTTTTGCCTTTAAGCCGTTTTTGTTCAGCAATGGCTGCCCTGCACATCATAAAGCTTTCCATGAACATAGATGAAGCCTCCAGCTATAAGCGAGAACAACAACAACGGGACAAAAGTATATCGGTTAGGTTCCTACATCTTTACGATCTTCTTCTTCTGTTCTTCGGATGGAGGCGGAGGAACATATGCAGCCGCATCAATGATCTCCTGTTCAGATCATTAGGAGTGATACAGGAGAAACAGCTTAAATACAAATATAAATGGCATTGGCAGTAAACCGAAACAAGTAGAAGCAACATGATAATATTCAGCAGATGGAGTAATGAACCCATGTCATGAGATGTCAGAAATTCATGCAAACCATGATGATGGAAAGATATATAGACATCCAATGAGTCCTCTCCATTATACCTGTAATTTAGCAAGCGCGTCATCGATGTTGCCCCTGCAAAAACCCGTGGTGTTTAGAGTGAAGAGAGATCTTTGATAAATGAAGGTAATGAGAGGGGGAAGAGTAGGCACCGACTTCTGTGTTCTAGTTCTGGTTGAAGATATGACTAGCTCTCCGTCCTTGTTAATTCGATTCTTCTCCTGTTCATAGATAACATACTCATAAAAAAAAACCAAAGGAAAGAAAAAGATTACAGTCCTTTAGAAAGCAAAAGAAATGTTTAGTCCTCAAAATTTAGTTCCATTGGAATGACAATTCCCACACAAAACATCAGCATTTGATTCTCTGTCATATGGGGCAGAACAAACCATTTGCATGATTCTCTCCCTGATCCTGTCACTTAGCCAGTATGCGTTTTTCACATTGAAGCGCATATCTACTTTGGTGTTCACTGCAAACATCGTTACAATGGAAACACGTGAATGTGTTAGATACATCAGACAGTCACAAAACTAAAAGAGGCAAAGAATGAGATGAGGTGAAGGACAAAAAGACACCTTTGTTCACATTTTGCCCTCCCGGACCACCGCTCCTAGCAAAGTTAACCGTGACATGATCTGCACACACGGAAAACCAGACGGGAAACCATGTGCATCAAATTTTCAATGGAGGAAACGTTCAAACAATTAGGAGATAACACAAATAACTCTACTCTCTAGAATAGTTTCAATCATCTTTCCGTCCATTGCTCATCCCAAAAACACTCAAAACCTTGCATGATGCTGTAAAGAAACCATACAAGAACACATTTTGCTCCACCAATCAATTTCTCTGCAGCAAACGGAGAGTCTTTTGGTTATCAACCTCTGAAAATAAAGTTTACGAAAATCTCATCTACGAGTTTCCGGGTGATTGGTCTATAATGAGCTTCGAAATCATCAAAAAGACTTCTCTCTTCCACACATGAAGGGCAACGCGTAGAATAGAATACTGACCATGAAATCATCCGACCAATTTTCAACAACCCTTTTGCCCCTTTTGTGATTTTCACCGGAAAGTACCAAAGAATCTCGTATTTGCAAGTGATACTTCGTTCTGCGACCGATTTGAGTTCTTTAGGAGTTCCAGAGTCATTACAGTAAAATTCCCCATGGCTTAGCAAATCAATTGAACCCTATTCCTGTTTCCCCCTCTTTTCTCCCAAATCTCATCTCTTTTTTTGTTTTTTTTTTCACGAGCCAAAAAACAAACTTGCGAAAACTTACTGGGAACAAACAGAGTACTGGAAGCGAAAGCGATGATACCTAAAGTGATTCGCGGAGTGGGCTCGTTGCCGGCGGAGCTAGCTCTCTCCTCGGCCTCTTGCATCATCTGTTGCACCTGCGACAACCGTGAAGAGACCTTCCGATCTCCTCCGCTTCCGGAGCTCGCCGCCGCACATCGGATGGATCCGAACCGGAAACCATGAGGAACCGGAGACTTCCATTGTGTCCGACGGAGACAAGGCAACAGCGTTCGGCTTGATGTGGATGGAAAGGACAGGAACTGAGGGTGATGGAGGAGCTCGCGCAGGATCGTGTTCGTCGTTGTCCTGATCGCCGCCATTTGTGCCGGCTGAGAATTCCGATGTCGATTGAGGGAGGGTGGAGCCCTAAATTTGTGTTGTTCCAATTCCCGGTTTAAATTTCCGGTTAAGGTAAAAATATAAGTCACGGTCTGGGTTTGTGTGGTTCTCTGCAAAACCAAACAAATTGAAGGGTCTGGGATATATCCAATCTATCCTTTGACTGTTGCAAGGACTTCTCTACCTACCCTTCAAAATCCAAATTAAAAAAAAATTGGGTAGAAGTGACGCAAAGACCAATTATACCCTCAAATTTTAATCAAAAGACGAAAAAACCAAATTAAAATTTAAATTTAAAAAAAAATGGTTCTATCTCTTTCCTACATTAGTCCACGTTCTGTCTCTCTCTCCTCACTGTCGCCATTTCCCTCTCTCTCCTAACTCTCGACATCTCCTCCGTCTGTCTTTCGAAACCGCCGGTTTTGTGGCAAAAAACCGTCGATTTAAGCCGCGATTTTCCTCTCATAAGTCTTTGTCTTTACTCTCCTCAGATTCGAAGCGCAAAGAAGGAAGAAAATGGCTTCTACGTCAGTGGTTCACTCATCTTTGTCAGCATCTTCGAACGAAACCGATTCTCGAATCCAAATCGCGGAGTTAAATGAGCACATGGTACATTACTTCTCTTTTTCTCATATTTGCACGATTTTGAAAGTTTATATGTTTCCTTATTGTTTTGCCGTGATGATTTGAAATGATAGAAATCTAGGGTTTCGTATTTGAAATTTTAGGGATAACATTATAATCTTTGGTTTGAAGTGGTTAAAATCGAAATGATTTGTTGATTTGGGTCACAGTGATATAGGTGACGGGATGTATG